GGGAAAGAGCGAAGAAGTGGAATTACATACTCCACTCCAGCAATGCATTCTAAAAACTATTGATGGTATAAAATAGTGGAGAAAATAAAATTACCTCAGCATCAGCAAATGTGGATTGCCTCCTGATACTGCACCGAGGATACTTGACAACCGATTTTGAACCAAACCATCTTAGCCGTAACTGTTTGTGTCCACAATTTCATTTTATTTAGCTAACAACTATATATATATATATATATATATATATATATATATAACACACACACATGTGTGTGTGGATTATGATATGTTAATAAATAGTGAATGAAGGAATCGTAACCATACCTCTACTCTATCAAACATGTCATCAACTATGAGAGGGTGACCACTATAATAAGCATCCCGTGCCTATTGAAAAACATTAAAAGTGAAATATTTATCTATGACAGTTTGTATATAAATGAGGAAAAAATGAATTGAATTACTTGGCAATAAAGAGCTTCGAGGTTCTCTTGGTTGGCGGTTTCGAGGGGGCCGACGTAGATGCAGGAGGGACCCTGAGGGCGGTGGTCGGAGGTGGCGGAGACGCGGTGGCTTTTGGCGGAGATTCTGACGTGGCGGGCGGTTCTCGGCAATTCCAGGAGCGTCGATTGGATGACGTGAGAGAGGCTGGTGCCGGCCATCAGCCCACACCACAATTCAAATTCTATTTCTGGCCACATAGTTGTAATATATTTTTTTCATTGCGGAAGGTTACAATAGAATCTATATTCGAATTTTGGTACTGTATTCTAATTCTGATGAAAATAAAGTTGAAATGGATTGGATCACACAACAACTGAACTCAACCGGTACAAAAATAAAATAAATTTGGTTAAATTATTTTTTATTTTTAAAATTATAAAATTTAAGTTCTATTATTAAATTTGACTATTATTTTATCATTTGTCATCACTTATGTGACGTAATATATAACATATAATTAAAATGTTTTTTTTGTTTTATAATTTTTTTAATTTAAAATAAAATATTTTTAATTTTTATATTTATCTTTTTTATCTTTATTAGTCTTTATAGTTTAAAATAAATTATTTTAGTTTTCTTTATTTACTCTTTCTTAGTAACATTGTCTTTTTTTTTATGTGACAGATATATTAATTTAATTTTGTATGTTTGTTGTTAAATTTATTCTATTAAAATTATTATAAATTAAGTCTCTTGTTGTATTCTTACCTGGAACATTCATGTTAAGATGCTTTTTTTTTTTTATCTTCACAAAATTAAAATTTTCTAACACATCAAACCATAAAAAATATAATGATATTTTAAACTTAACGATAAAATAAAGATTAAAAAAATTAATAATAGAGACTAAAAAGAATTTAAACAAAGTAAGTATAAAAACTTAAAAAATATATTTTTTAAACTATAAGAATTAAAAAGGTAAAATAAGTGATTATTTTAACTTAAAAATAAAAATTCAAAATTAACATATAAAAGATCATTTTTTGTATTTAGTTTGATCGATAATTATTTCATTAATAAAAAATTTGTTTGCATATTTTTTTAGTTTTTTATTTATAAATGTCAAATACAAATAAACGTTAACCGTAATCAGATAATAGATGTTAATTTGAAGATTAAAATTTTATATATTTAAAATTAAAGAGACTAATTATTTATATTTTAAAATAGAGAAATCAAAATTGTGGATTGATAAAAATAAAGGGAATAAAAATGTAATTTAGTAAAAAAAAACATCTTAAAGAAAAATAGTTTTTTTATTAGGCATGCACTTTTTTTCAAAATTTTAAAATAAACTGTAATATTTACATCAATCTAAATTGTGTGAATTAAACGGAAATACTTTTTGTACTGATAAAATTAGTTCAGTTTTAGAAATTTATAATTTAGAAGAATTTTTACCTCTATAAAAAAATTCAATTGTTAAAGTTTAACTTCGTTTCAGTTACTAAACAGATCACTTCAATTATTTTTTTACAAACACGTCAATTTAGATTTTATGGTTTAATTCAGTTTAGTTCTTAAACAATTCAGTTTAATTTTTTTTTTTGAACACTCCTATTTTTTTTTAAAGAATTAAATCACATTTTCAGTAAAATATATTATTTTAGTTTTATTATTTAAATCATTTAACTGCTCTAATAGTTGAAATATGTATTTCCATTGTGGGTGTACACTGTACAGGGTGAAACGAAAAAATGGGAATGGAAGAAGAAAACTGGTAAGTTATATATTCTGCCGGTTTCATCACCTGACTTCATTTTAGTATGTTGTATACTAAGAAATTTTCACATTATTAAAAATAAATTATGTGGTACCACAAGGTTCCATATTTTCTCCCACTTTCCTATAATTTTATAACAATATCAAGGACTTAACTTTCTTTTGCAGAATTGAATTTATTATTTATCGATATCCATCCCAAATACCCCTTATTTGGGCTTTTATAAAGAACCTCATGAGACCATATCTTAACATTATGGGCTTGTGGCTTCTCATTTACAAGAGAGTGAGAGACCTCACAACTCAAAAACTTGGCCCTATCTTATGCAAGTTGAATCAAGCTTGCCTCATGCTTTCAAACCTAATAATTTTTTAACTGTGAAACTTGAATGTAAAGTTGAATAATCTATAAGGACTAAAACATAATTAAATTATAAAAAAGTGTAAAATAGTGAATGCTTTCAGCATCAATTCAAGATTCATTAACTGTGTTGCCACGACCAGCTTGCACAGTTGGTGTAGGTAGACACAGCTGAAATGCTATAATTATGTTTCACCAGCTTGCTGAAAAAAAAAAAACACTATTGTTCTGTGGTGCAGCACTCTTGTCGATCAATATTAATATCCATAATGAAGGATATCATCTTTGGGTATCCTACCAAATATAATATGATGTATTACCTAAATTTTCTATGAATATATACTTAAGTCATTACTCCTGGGAAGGAACAGGAGCATCATTTTTTCCCTTTCTAACTACATTATTATTATCTGGTCCCACTTCAATGTTTTACCATAAGCAGTAATTCAGTTGCAACAGTTGATAATTTACTTGATATATTAAAGAGTTGATTGTTATTATTAACAAACCCAACCTTTTCAGATTTTTATATATACTAATTCAATTTTTTTCCCTTCTTTTTTATGGATGATGAATGGTACTTCATATGCTTGAGAATAGGAACATTACAAAGAAGGAAATTGCTCCCTAATCTCATGGTGCTTCAAAAGATAAACTAATAAGGATTTGGAAAAGACAGTGTGATGGTGTTGCTATGCCATCACACTAGAAGAAGAAAGCTTTTGAGATGGCTTGCTTCAAACACACACTGCTTTTTATCAACCAAAGTTTTGTCTCTTAAACGCGCAGAATCCCCGGTCCATTGATGTAGGATTTAAGATTTTAATCTATATAATAATTAAAATCAAATTAATGGTCCAAAGTTGAAAACAGGGTAGGGCTTATGATGACTACATGCATGCCCACTTCAGTGCACTTGGGACATGGTATCGTATATCTTGTATTCCCATTGTATATTTTCAAATACGATTTTGCTAAAATAAAAATATTACGATAAATATATATTAGTAATATTAGCAAGTAATGGATCAGTTTGTATTAGAAAAAACTCAAGTCTCATATCGACTACAGATAATACAATTAAAAAGTATATAATTGGAGAGCAATCTTTATCTTACAAGTCAGTTTTATAAGGTTGTGTTATACTTAAATCTATTATTCTAAGATAATATCAGAGTTATCCTAGATCATTAAAAAGAGTAACCTATCATTTATCTACGTATCAAATCTAATAGTGTTGGATTTAGCGTCGACTATAGATTAGACAATTACTTAGTATATAAGTAGAAAATAACTCTCACCTTACAAGTAAATTTTGTAGGGTAGTACTAGATGTGAGGGGATGTATTAGGAAAATTTCAAAGCAATCCTTATCTTATAAACCGATTTTGTATGATTGAGTTAAGTTTAAATCCACTATTCTAAGAGTTTGTTCACATGACTGATGACGAGATTATTTCCACGATAATATCAATTACCAATTTTTTTATTATATATATTTCTATTACGAGAAATTATTAATTGATACTAAATCATATTATCTTTAACTAATCTTTATATTACATGTAATTAAGTGTAATTATTTTTTTTTTGTAAGTTGAAAAATTTAAATACATGTGATATAGTAATTGATTGGGACTATCTAATAATTTTTCTTCAATTATACCGTATATTTATGATTATATTAACAAAAAAGAGACACACATGGGGAGAATCTAGTACCACGTACTCTCATTTGTTTTTCCATTAAAAAAAATGTTGGACATGACACATGTGTATAGAAAATTAGGAGTAGAAATAACAATTTTGTTAGACAAAAGAGGTTTGAGCCCCCTATGGTCTGTCCAGTGTCTCCCCCAAGTCCTTTTTCATTTATTTTAAAGAGATAACTTGTTCTTGAATAGCAGTTTCTCAGGTTGGCTCTTGTATCCCAAGTAAAGAACAAGCCAATAATGTGGCATTCCATTGTATTTTTTTCTGGGCCCCTTCCCTTATCACAAAACTTTTTTTTTGTTTAAACTACTCTTATCTTTTTAAAACGCTCAACCGTTGGATGGGAAAGTTCCCTCAACTGAAAACTCAAAAATTGGTTGAGTGTGACATTGATATGCACCAACCCATTCCATTTCTTGTCTAATGAGGTGTTATTATTGGTTCATTTAACCTGATGTGTAAGTGTGAATAAAATCTTACAATAAATAAATATAAGCATGATAATTAATATATAAGTAAAAAAAAATATAAATTTAATGTTTTAAGATTTCAAATTAAAATGTGATATCAAATTTCTATGTAACTTATATGTAGTTTATATTGAGAGGTTGTTTTTGGTGTTTTACCCTCATGTGTTTCCATATCAAGATGTATAATAGTTGATAGTTTTTGAGAAAACTCATACTGTAGTGTAGAAATGTGATTAAAAAGTCTCATATAATGAGGGCTTGCATGGTAAATGATTGATACAATGCTTCTAGATATTTAACCCTTGTATTCCCAAAAGTGATGAGTGGAGCCTGAAATTTGGACGAATTAAGAGGCATTGATGGGTTTGTTGTACAGTAGTTCACATGGAAGGAATATGATAGATAAGGATGGGAATGAATGAATTCACAAAGTAAATATTTGGTGGGGGCACATTGTCCACATGGACCACATTGGCATAGGATTTTGCAGTCCACATGCCAATGGCTATCGGGTGTGTGTGATATATATCTTTCATCTGATCAGCCACCACATGCAACATTTAAACTGTCACCAAGGTTGGTTATCTCTCCCTATCTTTCTTGCCTCTCAACATGTGAAATGCAGAGATAGATGAAATGCAATTACATTACCTCCTTTCTAAATTTGTTATATGCAATGCAACATATCTTATATTAATTTTATTACCTCCCATAGCTGCTAGTGACATGCCAAGATCAATATATGCATGGGAGAGGGGACACCACTTGCGTAACTATATCCAAACCATATAAATGAGTCAATCATGTGGACTAAAAAGGGAATGCAATGTTCTACTATTAACAAGGGAAAGCGGTGATACTAAGCAAATTTAATAAATACAAAACTCCAAGTGTCCAATTAACCACATTTGTAGAATCCATTTAATTAGTCTTCTATACGACCAAATATTAGAATGATTCATATGCACATCATTATCTATTTAACTCTTTTAAATATTTTCATTTCAGTAGCTGGTTTTCAATTAATAACTTATATATCAATGTAACTCAGCAATGGGAATGAATTCTCATTTTTTTTATATGCTAGCTTTCTAACTTTAAGTATTCTCACTATAATAAATATTTTAAATGTTCTCACTTTAATTAATGTGTTAATTTTTTATTTATAGAAATTATAATATTAGCAATATCAAATTTCCAACTTAAGACATTATGTTTATTATCTCAATTCTCATTATTAATTAGACAAACTCTAGTGATTATTAATTATCATTGTATAAAAATGTTAGATTCTAATAACTTCTTAATTTTTTATATTTTATTCCCATTCTATTTTTTAAATATTTATTAAATTTATTTATTTTATTTTTTTTACATTTTTTCTTTATTTTATTATTATTATTATTGTTTCTCCTCTTCTTACATTATTTTATATATAAATCATGGGGTCTATAGGTGACAATCATGCTCAAGTTAGTTAATATTACTTTAAGCATCAAAATTCTTCTTTTAAATATTTAAAACTACACATGAGACTATTTGATGAATTAGAATAACTCCAAACCAGTTATTATACACTTAACTTTTTCACACTATTTGTAAACTTAAAACATATTATTACTGTGATCCTGTATTATAAATCTTATAACTTTTTAGAACGTATATCGATCTTTAAAATAAGGTTGCCTATGTGGGGACGAACCAAAAAAAGAAAGGGTTCTTTTTTTTTTTTTTGGTCAATATACACTAAAAAAAAGGTAAAATTCTATATCGATCCACAATAATAAATAAGAGGTTACGTGGAGCAACATGATTGATCCACGCGTATGATATTTGTTTGGTGTCTTCTCTAGACCCAACCTGTGTGGGAAGCACATGCTAGGAAGTACTATGCTACAACCCCACCACTCCCTAGCACGCAATCTCTCCTCTTTTTTCACCTTCACTTTCCTCTCATAATCATATTTCCACATGACCCAACCTCATTATGCATGCTTGCTTGCATTAATTCACAATTTGAATTTTAGCCCCTACATGATGCCCCCAATTTTCGGTTACAAACTAACTATTCTGTCCCATTCAAAACAGAACAATGCTAATCCAACACCAACACTGAAATGCATGGACCCCTTTCCCCCCACAAGGCCTCATTACTCAACCGTACAAATAGTTTTGTATATTGAAGCTAATGCAGTAATACATGGCTTTTATTTTAAGCTTGTTGCTTCCCATTTTCTCTCTTCCTTTGGTAGATATATATGGAACAAAGTTATGTATAATGCATGTCAGACACATCTTGATACATCCCTCCCTTTTCTAATTATAAAGAATTTGTTTCGCTTTTAATGAGACCATGATGTTTAATATAATCTGATCTATGTTGCCTCGTACATATAACATAATCTAGTAGTATATGTAAATTAAACTAAGGATTGTCTTCACTATATATGGATGTTTGACTATGAAATGTAACTAACATGCATGTTGGGCTGCGATTTCCACCAACCCCATGACAAAGCGGAGCTTTATGGGTTTCACTTGAGCTTTACTTGAAATTTACTCGTTTGGCCGAGAATCCAAAATTTCCCTCCTTTCCATGCATGTGACCTGTTTGGTACACTTTGACAAAAATGAGAAGGTTCTCACAAGTCCTCATATCATGAATCACAACACAACAAAGAAGACATACAGGAAGCTGGTCTTCGTCTTTTGATATTTGGAGCATCCGATGCTGCTAATTAACGTGCCTTTTCCATTTTCCAAATTCCAAGTCATTTTTTTTCAAAAAGCTATAGACCGACATTAACTTATTTGGCTATCCATATTTGGTTTTCATGCAGCCTTGGAATTCTGATTCACCTCAGCTAGCTCATGAAGTGCTTTTGTTATTATTATTAAAAGTAGTTGAGTGTGAAGGAATGGTAAAGTTAAATGTGTTAATGTGAGAAAGAAGGAAGAGACAGGCGTAAATTGGAATGGAATTGAGTGGTAAGAAGAAAAGTGTGGTGTGAAGGTTGATCATTGATGACATTGGTAATAGTAACAGTACATATATACATATATTGATATATTGTGTTGTGTAGAGTAAAGTGTAGTGGTTTTGTGGGTGCGGCTCGAGAGAGATGTGGAGCGTGACCCACGTTACAGTTAAAGCAAGGAAATTGGGACCGTAGTATAAGGAGCGGTGATTACGGAGACTATACAAACAACCCGCCCCACACGTTCGTTGGATTCTCAATCCCTTTTCTGTCGTTTTGCTGTGTACCACTTCCTTCATCTTTCACTGTTCTTTCTTATCTATGCATTTTGCATTCCTACCCTCACAACTCATCCTACATATACATATAATAATCAATTAAATCTTACTGACCCCACCATTACACCCCCGCTCATCACGCCTTAACACTCCACTTGGCTTGTTTTAACTTTTAACCCTTCCTAATTGTTTTTTCTTTCAATTTTTTCACTTTTTTTCTTCTAATAATCCATGCTCACACCACAAACTGCTTATATCCAACATAGTATGTTACGATATATATAGATACTTATAGTTATCTATATCTCAACATATAATTAGAAATTTGATATTTTTAAGAAAATAAAAACAAATGGCCATGTCTTTTCCCACTAATATGCGTTCTGATGTCACGTAACCTCATCGTGATGTGCAGAGATTCCAGGGGTGCTTTTGTCTATCCGCTAAAATAATTGCCCTTTTCATGTTGTTATCTGTTGCGCTTCTATTTCTTTTACTTTTCCTATTTAACAATCACGTACTACGTAACCTATTTTGAGATCATGCACCTTCAGCATAATAATTATTTTATTGACAATGGGTGCGAAAGAAATAAAAGGAAATGAAGAAAAGGGTTTTTTTATTATCATTATCACTCGCATGTGAAGAGCGTGAGGTGGTGTGGAAAGTGGAGCCCACACGTAATCGATTATGTCTGAATACAATTGGAAGGTGGTTTATACTTGTTGAAGAATGGAGTGACAGAAATGTTTTTTGTTTTTGTATGAAAAGTGAAAAGAATAGCATATATGTTATGTTTTTTAAATTGAAATGAAAGAAAAGTAAAAAAATTCCAAAAATTGCCCCTGCAGTGCAAGCTGGCAGTAGCGCCTCCCCTGCTCCATAAGTACAGCAGCCTCTCCCAGTGACCAATCGCCTCTCATCTCCAAATCTCACCTCAGACTCAGAGGTGTTGTTTGTTTGTTCTAAAAAAGCAATGTCCATGGCCAAATTGCTCTGCATTGCGCTCATTGTCTCTTTAACATGGGTGGTGGAAGCTCGAATCCCAGGTGTTTACTCTGGCGGCGCGTGGCAAGGTGCTCACGCCACCTTCTACGGAGGCTCCGACGCTTCCGGCACCATGGGTCGGTAACTAACTAACTAACTCACCATGCACTCACAACTCACAACTCACAATGTTCCTAACTAAGCAACCACATTTTGTATGTTGTATGTTCAGGTGGAGCGTGTGGGTACGGGAACCTGTACAGCCAAGGGTACGGCGTGAACACGGCGGCGCTGAGCACGGCGCTTTTCAACAACGGCCTTAGCTGCGGCGCTTGCTTTGAGATTAAGTGCGCAAACGACAGAGAGTGGTGTCACTCTGGAAGCCCTTCCATCTTCATCACCGCCACTAACTTTTGCCCTCCTAACTACGCTCTTCCAAACGACAATGGCGGCTGGTGCAACCCCCCTCGCCCTCACTTCGACCTCGCCATGCCCATGTTCCTTAAAATCGCCGAATACCGCGCCGGCATCGTCCCCGTCGCATATCGCCGGTAACTAACACCTCCCTTCACTTCATTTTACTATCCATTTTTTTTATTATTACTGTGCAAGTTATTTTTTTTACAGACCTAAATTAGTCTTTTACTTATATAAGAAAAAAAACAAAAAAGAGGGTTATATTGACTTGTTATAGTACTAGGCAATGGCATGACTGGGATGGTGACATGGAAAGGAGCCAGTAACTTAACATTTCCCTTTCCCTAGGTAGTTACTAGTTACTAGTTACTAGTAATTCATTTCCCATATGGATGGTTACTTTAGTCAATGTGATATGTAATACAGTACACGGCATGGATGTGGGGTGGGGTTCTTTATTAGTAGTCTCTTTGTCACTAAATTTGGGGTTTCTTTCACTCAAAACCTTCAGCCGTTAGGACAATCGTGTGACGGAACTTGTTGTTTGTTCGTTAAGCTCACGTACAAGGGATTTATGGGGTCCTGTTTTAATTATTTAAACTTTATAGTCACTTTCGGCGGTGTTATGGCAATCTCGAATCTAATGTGTTTGGTACGTCAACGCAGCGCAAAAATTAATTACGTGCATCCCTATTGGATGGTAGTGTCTACTCAACCATGTGTCTAGAATTAGAAATGTTATTAACTGTGTTAGTTATATGGGTGTGGTGGTATTGGTGGGGTAGGTTGGTTGGTTTTGGAAGGTCAAAAAAGTTGACGAGGTTGGTTGGTATTTACGCAGGGTGCCATGCAGAAAGCACGGAGGGGTGAGGTTCACGATCAACGGATTCCGTTACTTCAACCTGGTGCTCATTAGCAACGTCGCGGGTGCGGGTGATATCGTGCGCACCTACGTGAAGGGCACGCGAACCGGGTGGATGCCCATGAGCCGAAACTGGGGGCAAAATTGGCAATCGAACGCGGTTTTGGTGGGCCAGGCCTTGTCCTTCCGCGTCACGGGCAGCGACCGCCGCACCTCCACCTCCTGGAACATTGCTCCGCCCAATTGGCAATTCGGTCAAACCTTCACCGGAAAAAATTTCCGAGTCTGAACCCTAGTCAAACATGTCATCAACATCAATGACATACTTATATATTTTTAATTGTAACCTTTTTTCTTCTTTTTTTTTGGTTCCCGCCATTTGCTTATTCCTAGACGCTCTTTTGACTAGTGAGATAGTGAGTGACAACTTTTTAATTGTGACTAGATGTTAAGTTTTACTTTCTCATTGGGTGGGTGATGTTGTATTTCCATTATTTTCAATTTGTATGGTAGATCAAAGGGTGTAACAATGGAAACGCCAAAGGGAGAAAATCGTGAAAACTGTAGGGAATGCTGAAGTGGCTTAATCAAAATGGTAGCCCGCAGCTAATTTGTATTTTTATAGTCATCGTGTTATATATATATATATATATATTAATGTTACAATTTGCTCTATGAATTTAAGTGTACTATTGTTCGTTCCCTTGAGTATTTGAAATTAGGATTGTTTAAAGTTAAATGAGTTTGGTTAACATGAAAAAGAAAAAAAAAAGAGTTGAAAAATAAGAATTAAGAATTTTTCAGTAATTCACGTTGAATTGAAAATTTACTTAAATTGAATTAATTTTGATGAAATTTATATTTTAAATGAAGTCAGTCAGACTGCATTACAGAAGAAGACCAATCAATGCAATTTACGAAGAACCCTACAATTGAAAATTGAGTGTTTTGTTTGTTTCATTCACATGCTTTTGTTGATTTCTCTTTTCTTCCATTTTTTCCTTTTCTAGGAGATGGGTGGGTCACGTAAATGTCTTTGGAAGAACAAATTTGGCATAGTCAAAGCAGAAGGAAGACTACACATTATTAGATACCGCCAAAGAACACTTGTTAATGAAATGAAAATAATAATATTGCTAAAAAAATTAAATGTGGTTAGCGTTTTATTTTTAAATCTATAATATTTGTCATAAAATACTAATTGACTAAGATAACCATCACAACAACTTTTTGACAAATAATAAATGAAAGGTTTGAATTGAATAATTGAAGCGGGTAGGCTTAAATTCAAGTGGTCTCTTTACTCGACTAAAAGGGAAGTGGAGCAAATTGGCCTTTATGATCTTATAACGAAAAAAACTTCTTACAATCAATCTAGAGCGAAATTTTTAAGATAGGGGTCAACATTGTGGATATGAGTTTGAATGAGGGAATGCATGTGCTCCACTCCTCTCCCTATTTGCAATGATTATGACCATATTGTTAAAATTCTAAAGTTGACAATTTTCATGTATCATTTCAGTTATTTTATAATTGATTAAATTCATCTATGATCATGTTTAATTAAAATTGGCTTATTTAGCAAATGAACTTATTTTACTCAATTTTAACTTTTTTATTATTTGATACCAATCCATCAAGAGAGATTTACAATATTTACATACCTTGTTTAACTAACTATAACTTTTTTTTTCTTTCTATTCTTACATTCAATACTTTAATAAAGTTTATCATTTATTGTCTCTATTGATATTACATAATTTACACTATTTACTTTATTTTATGAGCAAGTATTTTATTTTAAAACAAAGTAATGAGTTTAAAAATAAAATTATAATCACCTACAAATATACTTTCATTGTAATATACATATATAATCATTTAAACACATCTTTCTGAGATTAAAAAAAACATCTTTCTTTTTATCATTTTATAGTTATCAAATTGTTTAATAAATTAATCTAATAATATTCAGTCCTCAATTAATTTATTAGTTATTTTTACTAAAATTAATTATTTGTATCACTTACGTGTTTTGACTATAAATTAGTTGATATTATTATTGTCACTCCATTTAAAGTAGTTTTTTTCGACACTCATTAGTAAAGGATTAAAGTTTTTATAAACTACTTTTCATCTTAACTTTTAAATATGTGAGAAGTTACGATATGTCATAACAAACCCCCAATTGATTTTAAAAGGCAAGAGTGATCTAAATCCTTTATATTATTTTGATTATAGGTCTATTAACATCATTAAAATCACCTCAATCAAAGTATTGTTTGTTTTGATATTTATTAGTTATCATGATTTTATTTTTTTTAAAAAATGTCTTAATGAATTAATGGATGAACATTTTTATAAACTATCTTTAATCTTAATTTCTAAGTGATGTGAAACTTTATAATATTAGAAAGAAAAAAAACTCTATCCTATATTTTGTTGTTGCATGCGGGTCATATGCTTCAAGTATAAGTTACTCTATTTTCAGTTTTTCATCATGATTCTTATATATGATTTCATCAAGAAATGACTATTCAAATTAAATCTTTACAAATCCAAACGAACCAACTTCCCTACGAAATTAGCTTACAAAACGTTGATTGACAAAATTATTCATATATTCTATTTCAGTTTTATCACGTGAGATTTCAATTTTTTTTTTCCAATATGATGCTATGTAAGATATAAAATTAGAGAAAAGGAATAGCTTCAACCTTTTTACTTATTTATACCATTCTCAATTAAGCTGTGTTTATGTTTCTTAAATGAGGTGACTGTTAGTAATACATCTCAAGACAAATCTTGTAAGAATCGCAACATGTAATGAATTTGGAACAATAATCCAATGTTTCGTATGTGCAATGCAGTTGTATTGGAAGGTTATTGATATAGGCTATAACCAAGTTATCGATCAACACAATAAAAGTGGTCCAAATGAGTATGACTAATTTTTCCCTCTTCAAATTCTTGAATTCAGTAGTGTGAAACAATTGTTCCACCTTGGATGGTAGCTTGAGCCAAAACCAATTGATGTTGGGATCCCACGAGTCCAATGAATATGTCACATCAAAGCATAGCATGCATGGTTGTGGCTAAATGAAAGATGCACGTGGGTGGGGTTGATCGACGATTGTTGATGTTAATGGTATCCAACACCAACAGCCACGTACGTGGAGTCGAAACCTTGCAAGCTGCAACTACTGCCATATATCCACCACCTCTTAATTTACTTTCTTCAAAGCAATGCAACTTTGGATACCTACTCATCACTCTCAAAGTAAAAACCTTGGATACCCATTTATGCAATTCTTTCTCATGCAAAATCATCTCCCAAGAAACACGAAGGATCGGTCCTGTTAATTTTTTTTTTTTATGCTTGTTCTAATTTCTAAAGGTAAAGCAGATTTAGCTCTTAGAATTACTTTGGTCACTGGTCACCTCTTGGAAGTTACAATTACTGGGCCACCCATCGGTGAGGGTTAAAATAAATATACCAAGATTTAAATTTAATATTTCTTATTTTCACAGTAATTTTTTAATTGATATAAAGTTTAACTCTTGATTTAAAATTTTCCCTTGACAACCAGCTTTTGAAGGAGGGTTCCCAAGTGAATGAATCGATCAACCCTCTGCCTCCAGCCGAAAACTAGACCATATTCCATTTTTTAATTATTTACCTTCTATTCTCTTATTGAAAAGAAAGGGCAACTTTTTTTGTGTTCTTTTCTATTTTAGCCTATATTAACATCCAGAATGGTTTTTACTGTCTTTTTTATTAAAGTCGTCTAGATGGTTATAGTTCCCAAGACCAAGAGTGTTCACAATAGTCATACTTATTAATTAGTCCCATCGTATTGTTGTTTACATTTTCATTTGGACTTATATCTTGGTGCAGAGTGCACATCCAAAAGCATTGGACATCCTCATTACGGTTGGGATATCGAACTCTGTTTTGAGGCTAATTGAGAGACGAAATCGAGTTGACCAATGGATCAAATATGCAGGAATACTATTGACTGTCATTTTCTTGTTGGTCTTTGTTTTGTGGAGACATTGACCACTGACAGATGTTGAAAAACTGAAATTTCTTAGTTTGTGTAAGAGCATAAAAAAGTGAAAGTGAAATTTGGCTGAAGTGTGAAACTTTAACAGCTTGTGTGCATCATGAGGTAACATACACAAGGCTGCATATAAATCTTGTTATTTGACTAAAAACATATATTTTAGGCTACTTTTGATTTGAAGTATGACTGAGCCTAGGGTGGTCCAGTAGTATATGATGGACAAAATAATAAGAGCTCTTCAGGATCCTTCCCTTTCTCCCTCTTGGAGTTTTGACAAACCTGCAAAAGTTTCCAACTTTAGCAAAAAGAGCTTGCAGGGACTATGAGAGACTGACATGACATTACATGTGTGGTGGGGACAGTAGAGAAGATCAACATTGCAGTTTTTCAGGCCTTACTTGTGAAGAGGTTGGGGAAGTGAAGGGATGTTGAGACTGCCACTGGAATCATCATATTAAGGGTGTAAAGGTTATTATTAATTTTTAAAAAACAAGTTAACCTTTAAGGGCAAAAAAAAGAAAAGAAAGGTAAATATTTGCGACGCTTGTCCACTGTAGAACTTGTCTTGCAGCATTTGATTTTTATTTTCCCGTTTAATTACGCATCATCAATTTTATCTCTTAATTCTTACAATTAAAAATATTTTACTTTAGTTTCTATATACAGTATTTTTGTTTTATTGTAGTTTCTATAGTCTTATAAAGTCTTGTAAATTTTATTCTTTAATTCTTATAAAAATAGATATTGGAGACTAGAATGCCAAAACTAGAATGTATAGGGACTAAAATGGAACAATCTTATTTGCCAACATGTTTTTGGTTTCCATATTAAAGTTCAAACCTCAAGACAACCTTGATAAAACCAGTTTTCATTTTTTGAAAGTGTTGAGGTTGATTCTGGGTTAGAAAGCGATTGTACTATAATTTTTAATCTTTCTAAAAAAAATGATACTACTCCATCTGAACTCACACACATATATATAAGTAAAAAAAATAATTAATTTCACACAGATTAAAAAAATAGTTAAATGTATTTAATTTTTCACAATTTCATATAAATATGTACTACATTTACTAAAATATTTTTAATCACATTTATTATAAACGGTGCTTTCATTTATAGTCTTAGGTGTATTTTTGAATTAATATAGCTGAATTGGTTAAAAATTGCTTATATTTAAATTCAAAAAATGTAACTATTTTTTGCTTATATTTATGTTCAAAATGAGCCATTTTTATATTAAAAAATAGCATATGGTTGCTACAAAACTTCATATTTATGAAAATTTAATTTTTCATATAATCAGTTTAAAGATTTACGTTGTCAATTGATTAGAAATTACTGTAGGTATGGTTTTGAAAGCAAATATAATTTTTAAGTTAATAAATTAATAATGCAAGTTGATAATAGTAAAAATAATTTTCGGCCCCAACTAATGCATTCAATCCTAAATGGCCCCCAAAAAAGTCATACAGAACCCCGGCCCTGACAAATGACAATGATAGGCTGCGGCTGCATCCATACAAACTTATCAAAACCAAACTATCTATCATCGCCAAAATAAAAAATAAAAACAAAAAGGCCTAGTGTCATGGAAATTTAAACATAACAAGACTAGACCA